TCACCACACTGTTGTCTGAGTCTATGGAGTGCTGTCTTCAGGGAGTGCTGGTATTTTTCAGGATTAACGAAGAAAAACTACTGTTCACAGGAAGGAAAGAATGAAAGAGGACTCATCACAACTTGTCCCAACATAGGCTCCAACATTTCAATTTCAACTGAGTCCAACAGCAGTTTGCCTCTGAGTGTTGTACAATAGAGCAAGTGACTAAGCTGTTTTAATGAATTTTTCACTCTGAAACATGTTGCAATTCAGTCACCTCTCCATTACCAAACTAAAACTAGTGGCAGAGTTGATGATCCTAAAGAGCACATAATTCAAAAATCACTTATATTTGGCTTTAGGATATTTATTTTTTACTTACCATATCTCACTAAATTTAAGATGCTTCTACTTTTTACATCTTAACATATTTTATTAGAGATAAATAATGTGTCTTAGATTTGATGAAATATAGATATGTTTGATTATAAACAGATCTGAAGTACAAAAAAAGCATTTAAAATATTATAGCTAATGTTGAAGACATGACTCATAAAAAACTAGTAAGTGAACTGCTTTCCCAACTTGACATGATCTCAGAACTACATCCCATCTTTAATCATCTGTAGCTCTTTGATTATACTTAGGGAAGATAATACTCATACCACTGTATTTCTATTAATATATATTTCCATCCTTTCAAGTAGAATATATGTCCTTTGATAGAATTATAATTATTTTTGCATCCTGTATTACAACCAGCATGGTACAAAATGTGAGTTCCTACTATGTACCAGGGTGTGTCATGGGCATAAAAGCTACACAAAGATGATTGTCTCATACCTACAAGTAGGTACCAAGTGGAGCCTTATCTGTGAAACAATACTAGTTTAATTTTATATTAAGTTGTATAGACTATCACAACTATAAGTACAAAGTGCATCAGAATGTACAAGAGAGAGCATCTAAATCCAACCTTGTAGAATAATGATACCGGAACTGGACTTGAAAGGTGAGGAAGATGGAATATGGAACAGGTTGAGACAGAAAAATAATCTAAGGGGAGGCACCAGCATATGCAGAGAGAGAATAATAAAAGAGCAGAACATGTTCAAGAAGCAAGTGGTATGCTATACAAAAAATATACATTGGCAGTAGTGTGGTGGGGAGAGGGAAGATAGGATTAAAGTTGATCTGGTATCATATATGAAGGACCTTGTATGCATGCTAAGGAGTATTGGTTTGATCCTGTAGGCAATGAAAAGAGACTGAAGATTTCCAAAAGACAGTCTATAATAGTAAGAAAGACAACTATCCTACCTAATACCGTGTTTCCCCGAAAATAAGACATCCTCCGAAAATAAGACTTAGCACATGGAAAGATAAGACATCCCCTGAAAATAGGATCTAGCGCAACTTTGGGAGAAAAAATTAATATAAGACACTGTCTTATTTTCGGGGAAACAGGATAAAAGAACAATATGCAAATTAATCATCACTCCACCCACCAGCCAATCAGATCACATATGCAAATTAACCCCAGCCAAGATGGCTGTGGCCACAGAGGCTTGGGTTTTTCTGGTAAAGAAGCCAAGCTTTCCGCCTGCCCTAGCAGGCCTAAGCCTCCACTCCAGGCTACAAAGTTTCAATTATAGAAGGTAAACAAGAAATGACTGCTGCCAGGGAGCAAGCAGGAGACTTGACTTCGCTCCAGGATACAAAGTTTCAATTGTAGAAAGAAAATATTTCCCAGATACCAGGGCCTCGGCTTGGGTTCCTGGGGGGGCATGGCCTGCCTGCAAACCACCACAGGCCCCTCACTCAGGCCAGCCCATGCCCAAAGAACCCCCACCCTGATCCGGGACACCCCTCAGGGCAAACCAGGTGCCCCCACCTGAGCACCAGGCCTCTATCCTATCTAATAAAAGAGTAATATGCAGATTGACCATCACTCCAACACACAAGATCAAGATAGGTGTCCCCATGTGGCCAAAGATCCTGCCTCCTTGTGGATACAAGATGGCCAGCAGGGGAGGGCAGTTGAGAGGGACCAGACCTGCAAGGGAGGGCAGTTGGAGGCAATCAACCCTGCAGTTAGGGGTGACCAGACCGGCAGGGGAGGGCAGATAGGGGCAAACAGGCTGTCAGGGGAGCAGTTAGACATCAATCAGGCTGGCAGGGCAGTGGTTAGGGGGTGATCAGGCTGGCAGGCAGAAACGGTTAGGGGCAATCAGGAAGGCAGGCAGGTGAGCAGTTGGGAGCCAGCAGTCCTGGATTGTGAGAGAGATGTCCCAGATTGGAGAGGGTGCAGGCTGGGCTGAGGGACAATCCCCCGCCGCCCCGCCCCCACCCCTGTGCATGAATTTAGTGCACCAGGCCTCTAGTGTCATAATAATACGACAGGTTAGAAGAATAGGGTAGCAGACACTGTATGTTATTTCAAACTCAACACCTATTCCAAATCCCTTCTCCCTTGCCTTATCATAGAAAACAAATGATTTTGCAATCTTCTTTGAGTCACCTTTGTTGTGGCTATGTGACAAGCTCTAGTCAAGATATAGAGAAAAGGCTTCTGAGAGGGTTTCTAATAAAGCATTTGCTTTTCTGATAAATGGGGGTCAGAAGCATCTGATGCACAGTTTGTCCTAACCTTTCTTCCTACTTTGAATGTGTATGTGTTTCCCAGAGGTACAGTAGCCATTTTGTGAACATGAGGTTACAAATCAACATACTAAAGACCAGAGTGGAAAGAAAAATGTCCAGATCCTTGATGTCACCAATGAGTTTCTGTACCAACTCTGTACTGCTTAATTCTAGACTTTAAATAGACTCTTTTTTTATCTAAGCTACTATTTTATTTTTAAAATATATTTTATTGATTTTTTTTTATAGAGAGGAAGGGAGAGGGATAGAGAGTTAGAAACATCTATGAGAGAAACATCGATCAGCTGCCTCTTGCACACTCCCTACTGGGTATGTGCCTGCAACCAAGGTACATGCTCTTGACTGGAATTGAACCTGGGACCCTTTAGTCCACAAGCTGATGCTCTATCCACTGAGCCAAACCAGTTAGAGCTAAGCTTCTATTAATTAGTTTATTAATGCTTCCAAGCAGAACACATTTCGAAGTGACAGAGAGCAAGACTGATAGTAGGCAGATTAACTAGAAGGCTACTGTAATACTTTAGAAATATGATGATGAAGACTGCAATGAGAGCAAGGAGAGAAGGTAGACTAGATCCTAGAAACAGAGAGAGGCAGAGACAATTTAGTCTAAGGCATTTTGACATTAGGGACATTTATGGAATATAAGATGGATACAACTAATAAATAATTAGAAAGATAGGTCTACAGCTCTGGAGACAAATTGGAGCTGAACATATAAGTAATAAGGACATGTAAATGGTGCCTGAAGCCGGTGAGTATGTTGAATGAAAATGAGAATGCATAGCTATGGGCCAGTGTTGCTCAGTGTTTACAAAGTCCACCAATGTACCAAAAGGTCGGGGATTGGATTCTCAGCCAAGGGCAAGTACCAGAGTTGCTGGTTAGGGTACATGTGGAAGGCAGCCAGTCAATGTGTTTCTCTCTCATCCACTACAATGTTTTTCTCCTCCCCCCTCTCCTTTCTTCCTCCATCCCAGTCTCCCTCTCCCTTTCTTACCCTCTCCTCTCTCTAAAAGTCACTAGAAAAAATATCTTCAGGTGAGGACTAATAAAAAAGAAAATTAGAATGCATATTGAATGAGAAAAAGAAGTCTAGAAATATAACCTGAGAAACCTAGGCATTTAAAGGATTCAGAGCAAGAGAAGAATGAAGAATAACAAGAGAAGCAGGAATGACAGAGAGCAAAGGGAAGGAGTATGTTTCAAAGAGAGAGTGGTCGGTAAATAGTGAATAATTACAGAAAATTCAAGTAAGTATAAAGGTCAGGATGTCATAAGTTAGGAATTGATAGTGAGGAAGTAAGAAAGTGACATTAATTACTTTTTAATAAAATATGACAAGTATAGAAAGAAAATGTAGCTCAAGAATAAAGGCAAGGTTAGAGAAATATTTTTATTAAATTTTTTTTAGACAAAGAAGATCAGAAGCTATTTAGAGATTGAGGTAGAATAATTGAGTGAAAAGAAAAACAAAAGACTGAAGATATAATACGGTATTGGAAAAAAAAATGGAAGGAATGAGATTAGGAACCCAAATAGAAGCATTAGACTTAGAAAAGGGGGATGCTATGGCTGAAAAGAGGTAAGCCTTAAAGGTAGATGAGAAAAAGTTGTGAATAGTCATGACTAATACCTCATGTTTTTTCCCCCTCTATGTAATAGAAAACACAGTCATCTTTGGAAGGTATAGGAGACTGGAGAATAAAAAGTCTGTAATAACCTCTCCTGAGGAACAGAATAGGAAACTACCTAGGAACGGGAAGTTCTGCTAAGCAGCATTGAAGGTCCCATGGAGCATATGGCCCTCCTAAATAGTTACAGGTGTTTTGGAACATTTAAGAGAAGTCAACAATAAAACAAAGAGACAAAGCCAAGCCCAAGTGTCATAAAATATGGATATTTTATTCCTGCTCTGGGAAATGAAAAAAGAGGATAGAGAATATATCCTTCCACAAACCATTCTAATTTAGCTGACATTAATGTCACAGTTGGGAATTGATAGTGAGAAAAAGCTAAAGCAAATCTATGTGTATATAAGTACATACATATTTTTTCAGATCCTAGTCTCATCTCATAACTGTTCACATATTTACTCTATTTGTTGTTTATAAACACCCTTGTCATCAAATGCATCTTCATCTCTGCCTCTTCACCAATCATTTAATAATGTTTCAATTGTATTTTCTATTTGTGTTTTAATCACTTCCTTGATTGGTCAAACTACACATTAGAAGATGTATGGGATAAATTTGCTTTAAATTATGCTCTATGAATCACAATTACCCATTACACGATTTCTTTCATTATCATTTGGAACTTCACACATCTTGTAATTCTCTACGTAGACTATTTCAGCTTCTAGTGCTGTACATATCTACATCTTCTGGATGGGACTGTCCATGATCCATGAGCTTGGGGTCAGGTATAAACTGTGTAGCACCTGGTAAAGTATTAAAATGAAAAAAATTAGTCATTCACTCAGCAAATTTATTGTTGGAACTAGGAATACATCAGTGGGGGAAAAAAGTTAAAAATCTCTCCCAATATGGACATAACATTCAAGTTGGGTAAAACAGACAATTAAGTAAAATAAATAATATGTCAGATAGAGGTAAGCACTATGCAGAAAGATAAAACAGGGAGGGGCATATGGAGTACCTGGGTAATTTGCAATCTTAAATAGGGTGGCCAGAGAAAGCTTTCTAGAAAAGTGTAATTGAAGGAGATAGGGATGTGAGCCCATAGATATCTTAGGGAAATGCCTTATAGGAGCAGAACAGAGCAGAACCTGAGGCATGTTTGAGTAACCACAAAATGGCCAATAGGGCTGAAACAGAGTTGGCAAGATGTGGTGATGATGGATGCAGTGAGAGTAATAAGAGACATGTTCAGAAAACAATGGAATGCTAAGACACAAAGAGACATAAAGTTTTTATTTTTTATTTTAAGTAAGAAGAGAAGCTAGTAGGCAGTTCTGAGCAGAGGAGTGGAATGATATGTGTTTTTTTTTAAGATCACTCAGCTATGGGGAGAAGTGATTGTAGGGGGAAAATGGGGAAAGAAGGGAGATGGTTTAGGAAGCTATTTCAATACAGCAGGAGAAAGATGCTATTGGCTTTAATTAGGGAAGTAGCAGTGAAGGTGGTGAAAAGGGACTGGGTTATGGAGAAAGTCCTATGGTATAATGGACAGGATTTTCCAAATGGATTGTACTTGTTATGTAAGAGACACTGTAACTTAAAAAAAAAAAAAACCTGCAAGAATGGAGTTGCCATTTATTGAGATAGGGAAAAAATGCGGGAGAAGCATATTTGGGGGGAGGCAAATGAAGTGTTAAGCTTTGGATATGTTAAATTTGAACTCCTAAATAGTCATTTAAAGATGTACAGATGTTGACTATAAGCAGCTAGCAATGTGAACCTATAGACTGCAGGAGAAGTCTGGGCTGGTTTATAATTTTCACAATCCTAGCCTATATGCAGTATTTAAAACTATGGGACTACATGAGATCATCTAGAGCCTCAGAGAAGAGGTCTAAGCATTGAGCCATTTGTATACTCCAATTTTTTGAAGTTAAGAAGACTAGGAGAATATAGCAGAGAAGACTAAAAAGGAACAGCCAGTCAGTAAAGTAAGAGAACCAAAAGCAAGTGGTATTCCAAAGGCCAAGTAAAGAGACTGTTTCTTGGAAGTGGGAGCAATAATCTGTGTTAAAAGCTACTGATGGATTGCATGAAGTGGGATTGAGAATTGATTCCTGGATTTGGCAATGTGTATATCACTGGTGATTTTGATCAGCTGCCTGTGTGCCAGGAAGGATGCTATGTTATTTTCATGCATTATCTCTGAATACCACCAAGAGATAGATGAGACATTTATATTATCTTTGTTTTACAGATAGGAAAACTTTAATTTAAAGATGTTAAGAAACTTGGCCAATGTCACTCAGCTGGTAAGTGGTGGAGTAACATGAACCCAGGTTTACCTGATCCCCAACACAACAACCTAAGCTCTTCAGTAAAATGGAGATTAGGAGGAGTAATAATGTCATATAACTATTTTTAGCAATCAATATAATAATGTGCACAAAGTTCTGTGTATAATATAATACTCTGTATGTGCCAAGCAAGCAAGAGAGAACTACTTTTATATTTTGTGACATCAGAAACAAAATATTTTTAGGAAATTTTTATTTTAAATATGTTTTTTAAAATCTGACTGGTTTTTAAATGATTTTACTATCGATACATTTTGGAAACACACCTTTTCCCCCCACAGACATTTAATTTCCAGTTTTATGGTGAAAGACAAAGATAAGAAGTAAATGTATATACAATGATTTCTTTTACACCAGTCATTTTAGGAAAATGATATACCTATATGTAACTTCACCAGTAAAAACATTACAAACAACCAGATCATTAGTAATCACTACCCATGGAACTGATACAGTTTTCCGTAGAATGCAGTGCTTAAGTTTAGGGAGGTCTGTGGATAGAATTCGTGTGATCTATGAACTTGGATGGGGGGAATTTATCTTTACTTTCATTAACCTCTAATTAAAAATTGACATTTACTTCAATAATGAATGTAAGAAACAAACCAAAATAGTATTAACAGTATCTTAGATACTGTCACTAATAGAAGCAGCAGGTATTTTCGTATTACACTGCAGTTATAGTTATCTTAAAATATTTATACTTACAACTACTTCAAAACTATGGCCTTTATTAGGTATTTTCTTATGTATTGTTGATTAATACATTTAAGGAGGTCATATATTACTATGTATTTTATTTAATGCATTAAAAAACATTATTCTGAGAAGGGGCCATAGCATATAAAAACATTAAGTGGTTCTCCCTGCTCCCTTCTGAAATGTATCTTTACTGCCATCTTGTGGCAGCCTTTGCTCGGTGCCAGTAAAAAGTGTTCTAGGGAATAGTTTTATCAGGCATACTACAATAAGCATGTAACAAATATTTTATATAAATCTGAATCTGTCTAATTTGCTTAAAATGCCATAAAATGACTAAGTTCTCTAACACTTCTATTTATTTTCATAATTTATGTTTTTTTAAAAAATCTAGTCAAAGATTCAGCTCACACAAATGTGAAAGGTCCCTTTACCTTTAGGCTGTCACTTCTCAAAAACTGTTGAAAGGCTTCAAATTTTTAATTTACCTATAGCTTATGTCAGACATTATTAAATAAAGGAATATGCATTGAGAATTCCTTATGGAGCTTTTCCTAAAACCACCTGCTTAGAGGCCTCACCACAGGAGATTTTGACATATTTCTTAGTTTGAGTGAATTTTAGAAAACAGAAAACAAAAAACTCAAATAATTGTGATATGGATCCATCTGGTTTAGAACCAACTAGCCTATTTAATTCTATTCCTGGCTTTTTAAAAGATTCATTCTCATGATATTCTGAGTAAGGCTAATTTCACCTCTCTTATCAAAGGTTCTCTGTCCTCCCAAAAGATTAGCCATCATAAAATCTCCATCTTGACTCTTAATTTCCATCGTTATATTATGTTTCTTTGTACTTCCTTATTTTTATATCTAATAAAAACACTATGCATAAAGTTCTTAGCAGTTATTTTAAAAAGCTAGTGTTAAAACAGGAAAGGAATAAAGGTGTGTAAAGTTATAAAACAGTAATGACTTATTGTTATAAATAGCCACTAGTGACATCTGTTGACTAATAGTTTAGTTTACATATAATCTCATTACAAAAAATGGGACAGATCAGTAATAAATTGCTGAGTGAAGTTCAAAGTGTTAGACATTATATTTTTGTTTCTTTTGTATAAAATTGGGATGATATCCAGCATTCAGGTTCTCAGTAATTGGAATACTTAAATATACTAGTCCCTACAAGATACTTTCTCATACTTTCTAGTCTTCCCATTCTTTTTGCTCTCTCTGCTTTAGTTGGGCTCTTTTCTATTGACCTCTATTTGAGTTCATTATTTCAGCCCTCCCTTGTATAGGGGAGGGCAAAAGTAGATAGATTTACAGTTGCTAGTATCCTATACAATAAAGAGGCAATATGCAAATTGACCATCACACCATCACACAAAATGGCCACCCCCATGTGGTCACAAGATGGCCACCACAAGATAGCTGACAGGGGAGGGCAGTTATGGGCAATCAGGCCAGCAGGGGAGGGCAGTTGGGGAAAGCAGGGAAGGGCAATTTGGATGACCAGGTCAGCAGGGGAGGGCAGTTGGTAGGGACCAGGCTTTCAAGGGAGGGCAGTTGGGGGCGATAAGGTCTGCAGGAGAGGGCAGTTAGGAGTGACCGGGCCAACAGAGGGAAGTTGGGGGTAACTGGGCCTGCAGGGAAGGACAGTTGGGGGGGACTCAGGCCTGCAGGGGAGGGCAGTTAGGGATGACCAGGCCTAAAGGGGAGGGTAGTTAGGGGCAAACAGGCTGGCAGGGGAGCAGTTAAGCATCAATCAAGCTGGCAAGGGAGTGGTTAGGGGGTGATCAGGCTAGAAGGCAAAAGAGGTCAGGAAAGCAGGCAGGTGAACAGTTGGGAGCCAGCAGTCCTGGATTGTGAGAGGGATTTCCAACTGCCCGTTTGGATGGGCAGTCAGACATCCATCAAGGAGTCCCAGATTGGAGAGGGTGCAGGCTGGGCTGAGGGATACCCCTTTCCTTGCACAAATTTCGTGTACTGGGCCTCTAGTATGTGTGTGTGTGTGTGTGTGTGTGTGTGTGTGTGTGTGTGTGTGTGTAAAGTTTGAGAGTTCACCCAATCTATTGTATAAGTTGATAGATGATGGCCATGACTATTAATAGTTTCCCCAGCTAATTAATATGCTCCCAAAGTGTGCTCAATGAAAATAAATTTGTTTAATGGCAAATGGCTAATTACAGTAGTCAAATGATAATAATACCTTTTAACACTCATGGAGAGACTAGTATATGCTTGATATTGTACTCTGTGCTTTACATGCACTATTGCATTTAACTCTCACAACTATGTGAGGAAAAATACTATTGTGGTCCCCAATTTTTTTTTTATATTTTTGTAAAAATATATTTTATTGATTTTTTATAGAGAGGAAGGGAGAGAGATAGAGAGCTAGAAACATCAATGAGAGAGAAACATCGACCAGCTGCCTCTTGCACATCCCCTACTGGGGATGTGCCCGCAACCAATGTACATGCCCTTGCCAGAATTGAACCTTTCAGTCCGCAGACCAACGCTCTTCCGCTGAGCCAAACTGGCTTTGGCTGTAGTCCCCAATTTTTGAATAAGAGACTGAAGCTTAAGGATTTCAGACACATGTCTTATTTTAAATTTGTGCTTATAATTACTACTGTTTTTCAGGTCTTAGACCTTTGGAACTGCATGTAAAAAGTGAAGGATGGAAATGGTGAATCGCAAGGGTCTACTGCATAATCAACTTTGAATAATATGTGATAAGAATAAATGGTACTGGCATGTCTCTTTTCTCTACATGTATCCTTAGAATGCTTTTCATATACCAAGTTACCCATGGGAAGGGAGGGGTAAAGGGTTCCAGAATCTATCTATCTATCTATCTATCTATCTATCTATCTATCTATCTATCTATCTAATGATATTGGTTAGGGATGGATACTCTAGAATTGACAGGCATTTAGAAAAATGATTAGATATATTATATACTTGTGGACTGTAGATTACTCAGAGAGTGTAAAAACTGTATGCCATTTTGGTTAAAAAGGAGAGGTGACAGAGGAAAAGTGTAAAACAAATCAGGTTTGTTACTCAGTAACAGCTTTTATAAAGATTACATGAGAAAGGAAGAGGCTGAAATCAGAAACTAAACTCTGGTTTTAAATTAGCTACTTTGTACACAATGGAAAGATTTTGAACTTTGGTGTCAGGTAGATCTAATCTGTAAACACAACTCTGCTCCTCATGAGCTGTAGAATTTTGGGAAAGGTACAGAGTCTCAGTCCCTTCATCATAAACTGATTACAATTACATGTACTTCAGAGGTTTTTGTTTTGTTTTGTTTTTGGGTGAGGATTGAATATCACAATATATTTATAGCTCTTTGCACCACAAAGGAGGTGCTCAATAAGGGCACCTGAATAATGAAATATTATCATTATTTCCTAATTCTTTACCTTTGAGTTAGTCCTATTTCCTTTGCAGTAGGACAACTTAAAGGGTAGTACCATTGATACTGTACAGATAGACAAACCTATGTAAGCCAGTGACTGGTGAATTTATTTGAATACATATTGAAATACTTTAAGCACTCTGTTACCTTCTCATTGATCACAGTAAAACTATTACAGTATTTGCGTAGAAGGTATAATTGTCACTAACTGGTACCACAAAGTACTACTTGTCATTATCTAATACTAGAGGCCTGGTGCACAAAATTCGTGCACTGTGAGGGTGTCCCTCAGCCAAGCCTGCCCCCTCTCACAGACTGGGAGACTTCAGGGAAACGGGCCTAAGCAGCAATCTGGCCTTCCTCTGTGGGAGGTGACTGCACTGATTGGAGGAAGGCACCAGCCCCATCACCTCACTGCTGCTGCCATGGTCACAACCGCCAAGGTGTTTTCATCAACACGGACTCCCGTCCCTTCACCATGAAAAAAATGACAACTTTCTTTAAGCACTTTCAAGATGTGTCTTTCATAGGATTTGACATTTCTTTTTTTTCTTTTTTATTCACCTGAGGATATGTTTCCTTTGTTTTCTAGAGAAGAGAGAAGGAAATACAGAGGGAAACATCAATGTGAGAGGGATACTTCGATTGGTTGTCTCGTGCATGAGCCCTGGCCAGGGAGGAGCCTGAAACCTAGGTGTATGACCTTGATCAGAATTGAACCCAGACCCTGCGATTGGCAGGCCGAGGCTCTATCCACTGAGCCAAACTGGATAGGGTAAAATATGAAATTTCTTAGCCCCTCCAGCAGCAGACCTTAGCTTTTCTTCCAGGAGTGTGGTGGAAAAAGCCTAGATCACCTTCTTGGATTCTTATTACTCAAATTACCAAGAACACTGTGAGAGGCAGCTTAAAGGGAGCTTAGCCAATGAGCCTTCAGAAAAGGTGCTTCCTCTGCAGCTCATGCACAGAGGACCCCCTGCATTGTGTCCTCAGGGCTTCTGTCTGCTGGGATGGGGGCATGCCCCAAGCCACACTGCAGGGGGCTACCTGGGGCACACCCCCAGCCCAGTGGCCCTGGTTTCTGTCAGCTGGGCTTCTGTCTGCTGGGCTGGAGGTGTGTCCTAAGCCACTTGGAGGCAGCTCTGAGCATGGCCCCAGCCCAGTGTCTGTCCACTTGGGGTGTTCCAAGTCGTGCTGTGGCGGCTCAGAGCTCACCCCCAACCCAATGCCCACTTTCTGTCAGCTGGGCTTCTGTCTGCTGGCCCAGGGGCGTGTCCCAAGCACGCAGAAGTGGCTCTGAGCAGCCCCCCGCACAGCGTCTGTCTGCTGGGCATGTTCCAAGTCTTGAGGCAGTGGCTCAGAGCACGTCCCCGGCCCAGCAGCCCAGCATTCTGTCTGCAGCCCTTCCTCCCTCTGCAGCCTGGGAGTGGGACGCTAGCACCCCGCCCTGGCGCTATGGACACTGCCAATTTGTAGCGGAGTGATGTTTAATATGCATATTACTCTTTCATTAGATAGGATTAGCAAAGCTATTAGTATTATAATTGTTGCTATTTTTACAATTTGATGTTGAAAGTTCTCCTAGTATGTAAACTAAATAAAACTGATGGGGAAAGCCAAGACTGCTGATGGCATAAATAACATCAGAAATGGAAAGCTGATATTCTTCTGTCTAGATGTGGCTCATATTTATAGCCTGTAAAGAGACAAAGTGAAGAAAGGCACATTTCACTCCACCTGATTAAAAAGTTCACATTTATAAAGTAATTGTAAATTCTTCACTCATCCAACCTACCAGTGCTACTCTATACCCCCAGTGAAAAGATATGTATTATGAATTATCAGTCGCAATAAGAAAAGTCCCAGGTACCTCATACCCTAAAAATACATACAGACTACAGATATGTGAAAGAAAAATAAGGAAAAACATAAATACGTTTAAACTAATAATTATAAAATCAGAAACATTGTAAATAAATAATAGAAACAAAATTGAATTATACAAACAAACCTGAGGTCAATTCTGATTTTGTCTTCATTTCAGATCTGGGTTCTGTTGGCAAACCCACTGAGTGCTTCGGGTTCTGAGCTGTTTTTGCAGATATTTCTATTTCAGCAGAGCTTTCTAGCTGTTTAGCAAAAAGATTTTCCACATGAGTAAATCATTTTACTAAAAGAATGAAATATTTTATAAAAGTTTAGCATGCAAAGGTATTATGTTCCTTCATCTTTTTGTAATTCTGTTGTTGACCTCTGTCCAGGACTCCCATTACAAGCCAACATCCACCCAAATAAAACTTTTGGTCCCTTTAAACTCCACCTTAATTTTTTCTTTAGGTTCAGGAAGTGACTCCTTTTTGTTGTTTTTTGTCCACAGTGATTTAACTGCTTCATAAATGTTTTGACTTGTAGCATATGCCTTTTTCCCAGCGACCTAATTAAAACAAAAAGTGAGACAAATGACCTATTTTTAAGAGTAAAAATAAGTATTAAAAATATATGTCAGGTATTTTATATTAATACCCAAGTTAGAAACAACAGAAAGTATATGAATGAATTTTTAGATGATATAATACAAAGCCAAGCCCCATTTTCTAAATCTTATATGAAAAGTTATTTGCCTCATGTAAAAGGCTAAAAAAAGTATATAGTTAGTACAACACCAAGAGTGAATCCTAATGTAAACTATGAACTTCGGGTGATAATGATGTGTCAATGTAGGTTCATCAACTGTAACAAATGTAGCAGTTTAGCAATGGATCAGAGGAAGCTATGCATGTATGGGAGCAGGAGTTATGCTGGAAATCCCTGTACCTTCACTTTCATTTTATTATAAACCTAAAACTGCTCGAAAAATAGTCTTAAAAACTGTATAGCTAGCACTCACACTGTGAATTTAAAACTAAACAATTTTTGTTCTTTTGTTAGATAGTATGTATACTACAGGCCCAGTGGGGTTTCGTGTACCAGTGGGGTTCCTCGGCCTCGCCTGTGGGATCAGGCCAAAACCAGCTCTTCCACATTCCCTGAAGGGAGATTGTGTGAGGGTGCAGGCCAGGCTGAGGGATTCCAATGGTGCACAATCGAGGCTGGGGAGGGACGCAGGAGGTTGGCCAGCCAGGGAGACCACGGGAGGGCTCCAGGGCATGTCAGGACAGTCTTAATCAGTCCTGATCGGGCTGGACCTTAGCAGCAAGCTAACCTACCAGTTGGAGCATCTGCCCCCTAGTGGTCAGTACATGTCATAGTGATTGGTCCACAGTCACTGTCTGCCCTCTGGTGATCAGTGCACATCATAGCGAGTGGTTGAGCAGCCTTAGCATATCACACTAATATATTATGCTTTGATTGGTTGAACAGATGACCGAATGACTGGGCACTTAGCATATTAGGCTTTTATTATATAGAATTATATACATTCACACATAGCATTTTAAAACAAATGGAATGTATCCATTTGTTTTAAAATGGATACATTTTAAAACAAATGGATATCCAATGGATATCCAATCCAAGATAGAGGCAAAGTAGATGGGAGTGACACATACCACAAATGGATATCCAATCCAAGATAGAGGCAAAGTAGATGGGAGTGACACATACCACTTCCTAGGATCAAACTGCAATTACAATTAAATTATAGAACAATCAACCTGACTAACCAACTGAAGATTATCTAAACAGATGTATTATACCCAAGAATTTACAGAAGAAGCCATATCAAAACAGGTAGAAAGGGCAGATATGTGTAAAGGGCTGCTTCTCCCTCCTCCCTTGGGCATGAGCTGAGATTCTGGAGGGATATCTCACCTGAAAAGATATGCTGAGGTTTGTGGTGTCTGAACAAGAAGCCAGGCTTCCCATCCCAGAGCACCAGAGCCAGGAAGAAGCAACCACATATCTAGCTGTGAAATTTGGTGGGGATTATGTCCACCAGGGAGATTTAGAGTCTGCTAGGGACACAGGTGTCCTCTTAAAGGGCCAATGCACAAAATCTCATTCACAGCCACTCACCCTGGGCTCCAGCTGAGGGATGGCAGAGCAGACTAAATTCCAGTGAGCAGATACTGGGTTTTGTAGCTCTGGGGAGAGATCTGAAGGACCAGCCTCCAGAATCCCTGTGCTGAGTCCATCTCCCATACCACAGATAACATCTTTCTTGGGTGGAACACTTCCTTCATTAGGACATCAGCCTAGGGGAATGCATAGCCCCAGCCTGTAGAGTCTCCGTTGCCCTACCCTATAGAGCAGTGTTTCCCGAAGTGTGGTACGCATACCCCCAGGGGTACGGGAGGAGTTTGGTGGGGGTATGCACTGCACTGTGCTTAGCTGCGCCTAATTCTACATTCTCATGAGTACGAGGGGTACTCAGCGTTACGAAAATTATAGAAGGAGTACACATATGTCAAAAGTTTGGGAAACACTGCTAGACAGCATCACCTTGTGGAAGTGTCAGTTGCCAAGGTTGGTTGTAGAGATTTGGGCAGACTCAGGCTGTCATTGAGTGAGTTTTGTGGTTTTGAGGTATGCACACTTTATGCATACCTGACAGGTGCCTAACCCTCACAGGAGATACTTAGCCCCACACTTTAGGCTCTGGGTGGCACTACTCTCCCTATGCACACTTTCTGGTGAACCTGACAGGTGCCTAACCCTCACAGGAGATACTTAGCCCCACACTTTAGGCTCTGGGTGGCACTACTCTCCCTAATCCTGTGGCCACTGTCCTGATGAACATGGGCTCCCCAGAAGTTCTAGAAATAATCCAAGACAAACTGAATAGTGTGGCTCTGGGTTAGGGGCCACTACCCTAACCTTCCCACAAGACTGACCAGCACCAGTCCCTCATGGGAGGTCTACTAGTTCAACCTTCATGATTCCCGGTAGTCCTGCCCTGGTAAACTGGGGCTATTGGCAGAATCTGGAGCAGACTGAGTTTTGTAGCTTTAGGATAGGGGAAATTTTTCCCTTACACATCTGAGCAGTGTAGAGCCTTCCCTTTACATAGCCAACTCTTGGTCTCTTTGGACCTGATAAACTCTGTAGGATTCACCCTGATGACTCTGAGACCCTATCCCACCACAAAGGTCTGCTGGCATCTGGGGGTGGCAGCTAGACTTGATATATCTTGTGACTTTTCTGAGTGGCCTCAATCCAAGCACTGGCACTGAATTTGAACTATCAATCTGGTGAACGCAACTACCCCCTACCTGGTGATTCAGCTTCATCCTTCCAATGTACACACAGGCCCAGTAGAGGCACCCACAAACTGTGGACTGCTTTGTAGCATCAAAAAGGCTACTCAGAGCCAGTCACAAGCAGTGTCTGATATTGCTCTGCACCAGAGTCCCTCTCAAGAGGCTCCCAAAACAATAAGACCATGACCAACTTCAGATAACAACAGGGCAGGGTCAAATTAGCTTCATAAATGGTATATTGAAAAGAAATTGCAGCAGGCACCAGCCCCTACTGAGGTGAATTTCACTTGGTGCAGTCAGCACCTGCATAGCAGTTGTACACTGTGGTCAGGACTAAACCTAACACTAAGCCATTCTGAATGTCAAACCCATGCATGAATGAGCCAAAAGCAATCAAAATTCAATTAAAAAAGGGAGCATTCACAAAACCCACAAAGGATATTTTTGAAGCACCCAGCTCAGGTAATCAAGGAGACTGTGCTACTGGATCCCAAATGAAACTTACTACATAAAGCCACCTTGCCAAGACTGGGAAACACAGAAGATCTGCCTAATATAATACATAAAAACATACACAAAAGAGGCAGCTAAAATGAAAACACAAAGACACATGTCCCAACTGAAAGAATAGGAGAAATATCCAAAAACAGCAAAATGGAGGCAAGCAATTACCAGATATAGAGTTAAAAATATAATGGTTATTAGAATGTTCAAGGAACCTAGTGAAAACTTCAACAATGTGAAAAAGGACACAAAAACCATAACAAAGAACCAGTCAGAAATGAAGAATACAGTTTCTGAAATGAAAAATTCACTCAAAGGAATAAACAGAACGTTGGATGAAACAGAGGATCAAACTATCTCTCAAATCAGTGATTTGGAAGATAAGGTAGCAGGAAACATCAAACCTGAGCAGCAAAAATTAAAAAAAAAAGTAAATGGCAGAGATAACTGGGAATGCAAGAAAATGGAGAGGACCGTAGTATGATATGGCACCTGCCCCTATCTATACTCTATCATTGATTTGGAACCCCAGAGGGCTTCAGCTTCTAGAAGTATTCCTGGGGGGGGGGGGGGGATTCCAAAATGGTGGCAGAGTAAGTGAAAGCTACACTGACATTCTCCCAGGACCAGTGTGGAATTACAACTAAAATACAGATAAGTCATCCTGAATAACCAATTGAAGGCTGGCTGGAGAGAACCCTTACAATCAAGGACATAAGGTGGAGGCCACATTGGGACTAGTAGGAAGTAAGGAGACACAAGAGGGCTGGCCGGGCTCACAGGCAGCAGCTGAAGTTTGGAGAGATATCTCAGTTATGGGGGTTCCCACTGAGAACTCTGGGGACTAAATCCCAAGCTAGGCTCCCCTGCTAAGCATAACAGAACCATGAAACGTGCCCACATAACATCTGGCTGTAAAAAGCACAGAGGATTCTGTCCAGCAGGAAGAGATGGCAAGAATCACAGGCACCCTCTTAAAGGGCCAACACACTAAATTGTGTGTGCAGACACCTTGGGCTCTGACAGAGAGAGGGCAGAGTGTACTAGAACACTATGAGGAGAGTCTCAGGTTGGTGGCTCTAGGAAGAGAGCTGAGAGGACAGCTACCAGTATCTTTGGGCTGAATCATTCCCTCATGCTGCAGAAGCCATATTTCTCAGGCAAAGCTTTCCCATCAATGCAGCTTTAGCCTGGGGGAAGAAATTGCCCACCCATTAGAAACCTCCTCTACCAATCCTTTGGAGTTGATGCTCTGCTAAGGACTACAACCTGAAGCTCCTTTAGTGAGGGAGACTAACAATCAGCTTACAAGCATAGGTGGTTCTCTAATGATTTGAGTAGTTGCCTGCCCTACTTCTGGCCCCGAGGCTAGGAAATCACACTTCTGTGCTTGCTTAGTCATTTCTTTACACATCCAGCCCCAGTAGAGGGAGCCACAAGATGTGAATCAATTATTGCTCCAAACAGGGTACTCAGGTCCAGTAACAAACAGTGGCTGACACTGGCCTTCACCAGAAACCTTTGAAGAGGTCCCAAGCCAACAAAGCTAGTGGCTAGCTTAAGACACTATGGAGCAGGATCTAAAAGGCTTTACATGCAGTATGTCCACAGGAAGATACTGGCAGGCTCCAAACCCTGCAGAGGTAAATTCCATATCCTATGATAGGCACCTGAACAGGAGTGTGCACACTGTGTTAGGGTTTGAGCCTCACTGACAGCCAGCCTGTGAGTG